TACATACCAAAAATTTCTTTTTAAAATCATTATTAATAAAACCATAAGTCATCCATCATCATAAAGAAAATCATAAATCATGTATCTCAAAACATGATGTTAAATGCTATATCAAATCTTATGAGAAAAATATCAGAGTCTAAACAATCTCAGGTTGAAACTGTGGTGTGTGCCATGCGATCATCCCGAGCCTTTCCCCTAGCTAGTGGAAGTACCTGAAACCAAAAATGAAAACCGTAAGCACGAAGCTTAGTTAGCTCCCCAACTACCACATACCATACACATAACATATAACATAAGCTTGGGACACTGCCCAGCTACATCGGGAAGAACCCGACATCGGCTTACCCGGCATCGAGCCCCGCATCGGGCATCGGACCCCGTCCGGCTTGCCCCGACATACATACAACATAGCATAAAAACTAACATAAGCATATAAACATTCATCGGGCTTGCCCCGACATCAGACCGAAGTCCGGAACAACTAACACATGACATATACACTAACATACATCGTGATTGCCCCGTCATCGGACCGAAGCCCAGAACATATAACACATAACATGCAAGAATCACAAAGACATCAAGCATACATAGACATTCCTCGGGACCACCCCGGCATCAGATCGTAATCCTGAAAGCATACAACCTACATCGGGCCATACTCGGCATCGGGCCGTAGCCCAGAACTACAATCATCTAAACGGGCCGACATTGTGGCCTTAGACTCGTTCTTACTGGAGAAAACTCACCTCGTAAGGCTGACTGCTGAAACTCGAGTGAAGAATCTCTGACTACTGCTCCGACGACTCCCCGGCTATCAACTACATAATACACTTAATCAAAATCTGATAATCCTTCTCAGGGTAAAATGACCATTTTACCCTTGGTCAAAGTCAACATCCAGGTCAAAGTCAAAGTCAAGGTCAACTCTCAGTCAACCCCAACTCGTCGAGTTATCTCCTAACTCGACGAGTTCATGCACTACTCAGCCTCGTGGTCAACTAAGTCAACTCGTCGAGTCCCTTCCCAGACTCTTCGAGTTCTTCCTGTCATAACATCGGGGCATATCGACTCTAACTCGTCGAGTCCCTCCTTGGACTCGTCGAGTTCTTCAGCTTTCGTGTCCTAATCTTGTCCAACTCACCGAGTCATCTCCTAAACTCAATGGTTTCACTCACAACCAGAAAAGGGGTTAGGGTTCACGACCCGACTCGCCGAGTCCAAGAACAAATCGTCGAGTCCTCCATGTGACATATCAATTTTGTCGATTGTAATCCATTCCAATGCTTTTAACTCATAGATCCAGACTCCTTAGACTAGAATTACACATAAAGTTGCTAACTTTACGTGCATGCATGGTGTTATGAAGCTAAAACACCCACTACAAGCCAAAATGAAGGTATAAGTCATAGAATGGAGTCATGACTGAATAAAGGTGGAAACTTTAAGCTTCTAAAGCTCAAGAGTGCCCAGATCTGAAGGTTTTTCATCCCCAAGATTTAAATCTCAGAACGACCTTGGAATCTTCAACCTTCCTTCTGCAACTCCAAGCCTTTGCTTCCTTCTTCTAGCTTTAAATCACAAAAATGGCAAGAAATAGCTCAAGATTAGTCAAGGTTGATTTGGGTTTTGATATTTAGGTTTGGAGGTGATGGAGGCTGGGATGGAGGCCAGATATGATGCTTAAATAGGGTGCAAGCCCTAAAGATTAGGGTTTCATCCAGCCTGTCCTACTCGTCGAGTCAGGTCCCCGCGCATATACTTCCTTCTACTCGACGAGTTTGGACCACCAACTCGTCGAGTAGCCCTTCCAAAATGAATAAATAAATGAATTAAGTGCATACCAGGAACCATGCGTTACACTCATTTTGTATTCAAGCTCGTTCCTCAGACAGGAAAATATGTGGTTCATGAATTCGTTGAAAGACATAATCATATGTTGATACCTAAGGCTAATATGCATGTGTCACGTGTGAAAAGAAAACTAGATTTCTCTCAGCAAACTTACATTTATAACATGTCTAAGAATAATGTTGGGGCAAAAAAAGCTTAGAGGTAAATGTGTGGTCTCCAAGGTGTGTGTTCAGTTCGTGGTGGATTGGCGATTGATTACAAGAACTGTTCTAGGAATTTAAATTGTTTTATTGGTGGTAGTGATGCCCAATTGATTTTCAACATCATGGAAGAGAGAGTTAAATATGCACCAAATTTCTCATTTGAGTTTAGAGTCGAGGAAAAAAGACTATTTTCAATGTTTTGGGCTGACGAAACTTCTAAGTATAACTACAAGGAGTTTGGGGATGTTGTTTCATTTGATGCCACATACCAGACTAACAGGTTATTAGGTTATTAATATTTTTTTATATATATTTTGATGATTATAACATATTTTACATTTAGGTATACATGGTATTTGTTCCATTTACTGGAATTGATAACCATAAGAGGTGTGTCACATTTGGTGTTGGATTGCTTACCCGAGAAGACATGGATTCTTACAAATGGTTACTAAAATGTTTTTTGAATGCTTTTGGGAGTTCACCTAAGATTATAATGTTTGATTAAGATCCGGCAATCAAAAAAGCCATTGATGAATTGTTACCACTCTCCAGTCATCGTTTATGTATGTGGCATATAACAACAAAATTACCAAAAAAGGTATACATACCACTATTATTTTCTACAATTGAGTATTCTTTACAAAAGTATTTGTTATTTAATTTACAATTTCTGTTATTCATTTTTATATAACATATATTTCTTTGTATTCTTACATTTTTATGTTTTTTGTATTTTTTTAGTTAACTTGGGAAATTGCCAACAATTCAGACATTAAGAAACGTTTCAACAGCTTGATATAGAATGCAAAAATTAATGAATTAGAGTTTAAAGTCGGATGGGACAGTATGATTAAAGAATTTCATCTTGAGGATAATACATGGTTAAGAAAGATGTTTGGTTTTAGGGGACTGTGGATTCCTGCATTCTTCAAGAATGTTCCAATGTCCGGTTTGATGAGAACCACGTCACTCTCAGAAAGTCAAAACTGGTCTTTTCAGAACACTACACTATCTGTATCATATCTTGTCAATTTTATGATGACATTTGACTTGGTCATGGAAAGACAAAGGCACACTCAAAATTCATCGGATTTCACAACTACAACAACATTTCCGAAGAACATTACATATCTTCCTTATGATCCATACGCAGCAAAGGTTTACACCAGAAGAATATTTTATCAAGTTCAGGAAGAGATTTTTGAATCTGAAAAATCATGCTTTATCACAAAAGTCGTAACTGAATCTTCTGATGGCGTCGACATGTTTGATTTCTTGGAGAGAAAGAAAAGTGTTAGCACACTGAAAAAGGGGGTTGTCCCCGACCAACCCGAGGAGTAAGAATATCATTTTGATAGTCTTGTAAAGGACAAAGATTTTAAGGTATGTTTATATTTATATTTTTTAAAATTGACATCATAGACATATTAATTGATACTGAAATTAATTAAATTTTCACCAATAAAATGTAGGTTACTCACAACAAGAGTAAAGGATCCTTCTTGTGTACATGCATGCATTTTGAACATGTTGGAGTTCTATGCAGGCACATATTTTCTGTTATGAGGTACTACAATCTAGAAAAAAACTACCCGAAAGATATATCTTGAAACGTTGGTGTAGAGACATAATTCCTCCAGAATTATTGAGGCGGCGGTTTAAGAATTTTCAAATGGACGGAAATGTTGACAAGGCAGCAATCGACATCTTTTCAACTGTTGATCACTGTATTTTTGAGTCATGATCCAGTGAAGCTGCATGAGTACTTGGAGGAGATAAATAAGTTGAAAATGAAGTACTGCCTTTCATCTTCGTCTGATAATTTGGTTAACAGGAATCATTTTGAACAGATTATAGGTGTTACTCTTCCAAAGGAATGTGAAATTGAGAATCCTTCTATAATCAGCAACAAAGGTTCTGGTAGCCGTAGAAAAAGACTTAAAAGTAAAAAAGAGAGGTTGACAAATCAGTGTCAGAAACCAAAGAGAATGTGTAACTCATGCAAACAGAAGGTTAAACATGATAAGAGGAAATGTCCCTTGAAGGCTAAAGTAGTGTAGTCTTATTTTTGTCCTATTCATGCAACAAATGATTTAAACGAATTTATGTTTTTCATTTAATTCCTTTTTCAATAAAGATTACGTGTTATTTAGATTGTTATAAGTAGCTAAGTACTCGTTGTTATAAGTAATTAAGTACTCTATTCTTTGTTTTGTTATTTTACCTTCACCTGTTCTAGTTTATTATTCAATACAGAATCATTTTTAAAACAATGTTTTATAACTAATTCTTTCAGAATATATACTATCACAAGCTATTCTTGGATTTATTACATGTAAATGTAGCATACTTGGGAACCATTAGTTACACGTAATACCAAACAAATTTTTTCTAAGAATCTATTACAAATAACAACATTTTTACATTCATGTTTTCTTAATTACCAAAATATTAAAAAAAATATCTACCAGAATGTCCAGGTAAATGTAATTAAAATTATTATTTAATACCATATTAAAACACAATATTCTTAGAGATTATCCGTGTAAATGATATATATTTTTACAAACTATTATTACTGATTGTCCATGCAAATGGTACATCCTAGGAACCACCAATTTCAATTATTGTTTACTCATATTCCTAATGAATCAGCCATATATAAAAAATCACATTCCACAGATATTTGTTTGAATCACCAATAAAATCATATCTTAATGATATACGAGTTCAAAAAATTGTCACTACCCAAAACCTTTAACTTTTATTTCAATCATAACTTCCTAAACCATCATTTTTGTTCATTCCTTAACTTCAAAATAATAAGAGGTTCCATCAACCAAAGACTGACATAAGTTAAAACAAACGACATACAAAAACTTAAAGCACACCAAACAATATAAAAACTAATGTTTTGCAAACCAGACATTCAAAACACTAACATTCTTCTGCAACTATACCCTTTTTCGGCCACTTTTTCCCTTTCCTTTCTTTTTTATTAAACTTCTTTCTTTTATTCTTTTCCAACTCCTTCGCATCATCAAACAAAATACATTTCTGCAATATATATAACTTTGAAAACTTATCAGCTTCTTCCAACAACATGTCTTTCTGCAGGTTGTGATCCGAGGTCATCAGTCTATACATATATTTGTACCTCAGTCTTGATAATACCGCAACATCACTATGTTTTATTCCTTTAAGTCTTGTTTCCCACTTCCCTTCTAGATCTCCCTTATAGCACTCCATTAGCCTCATCAAATATAGACCACGGTCAGGCTCAATATCAGGGACTTCCCAAACCACTCTCATGAGTTTGGCTTCCTTTGAGTACAATTCAACATGCATTGGATGTTTTTATGTCATCAAGTAGTTACAAAAGAACCGTTGCTGCAACCAAAATCAAATACATAATGTTAACCATAATTTATTTATATATAATTTCCATATTTGTTAAAATATAATAATATTATTTCTTACAAGTGTTCTTGGTATTTTTTCCATGTCTACTTTCAACTGTACCGATACGTTTCACATGATCAATAATCAAATATCTTCCCCTCTTTAAGTCGAAACACAACAGATAATATTTGTCAACATCAATTATCGGGAAGAAAACCTGCATAATCGACTAAATTTATTAACATGATATTACATCAATATTTTTGAAATTTATATGTTTCATTATAAAAAAAAATATCAGTCCAACATCACTTAAGTTTGTTTTGATATCCAAATTTCCAATGAACATTTCAAGCATTAAATTTGCTCCTTAAGTCTAGAAAACTCAAGTTCTGTTTTGTCCATCACTAATTCGTTCTGCAAGAATCAGTTAACCAGCAATTAACATAATAATAAATTTCATTTCTAATGAACTTCAAATATTAAAAATTTACTGCATACCATAAAATAGGTATTAAAGTATACTCTTGCTGTTTTTCCTAATTCTCTGTATCGTTCCATAGTGTTTAAGAATGTTGCCCAACAATTAATTATCGACCTATGAATGAACATTTTGTCTTCAAAGAAATATGCATCACCTTGAAGAAGGCTTTCTCCTTCATCGAAATCCAAAATCGCATCCCTGCTTACACACATACTCATCAACAATCATGTACAAACCATATAACATGTTTAATATATATCATTAAAAAATGAATATAAATTTTAAACTTACAGTTGATCTCTTTTAGAAGCGAAAATAGAGTTGCAAAGACTCGTTTCTTCTTTTCTTACTTTTTCATGTACCCGAGTTAGCCTATCCACAAATGGTGACCGCTCATAGTTTGGAACCTTACATTTCCTTCTCCCAGTCACATTCGATTCTTTTTCAAATTTCCTTCTATGCTTCACAACAACTGATTCGTTTAGATCAGTCAATAAATTTCTTGAGTTTTGTTCAGTAAAACCTGTTTCCTCATTGATTGTGTCTTTTAAACTCTTATCTGTGAGAACAAGATCTATGCGCAGGGACAAGGTTTGAGAACTCAAACCTTGAGTGAATGCTTGAGATCAATGTCTGCTTGATAATGAATGTTCAAGTCGAGACTGGAAAGACCAGTCAAGTCTTAGATAATCAGTTCAACAAATGATCAAGACATTAATTAAGAACAGGAGGATAATGATCAAGGTAACGTCAATTAGTGAAGAACAAGAAGAATGTTTTTAATGTGATAAGAGTAAATGCCAAAAGTAAGAGAAAGATCCATCTTGACTTGTATTAAATGCTCCTATATATATAGGAGAGAATGTTACAGTGAATTAACCCAAGTGAATACATAGGACCGGACAAAAGATACAAGTCTGGCATTCTGATTGTCCTAAATCAACTTTAAACTAAGTCCTATGAAAAGTTACATCACAATACAAGACAAAAGTAATAAATGCACAAGAGACAAGACAACTTCATTCCTGACAGGTAATGTTCCGGAGATGAAGGTTTGGTCCGGATCAGCATACATTCCGGACTCCAGGATCAGCTCCGGAATGTGTTCCTCTTCAAAATACTTTACTCCTATTCTCCAGCTCCGGACAGGTTCCGGATCACATCTTCCTTCGGAACCAACAGCCTTCGGAATATGTACTTAGGATTGCTAGAGGTTCACTTTCAGGTTCCAACAATCTCCCCCTAAGCGAACTTAGCAATCCATCAAGCTTAGTTCATTTCTTCCTTGATGAAGGTGTATGCTCGGAACAACCATTCACGCACCGCAATGTACCAAGTTAGTTGACTTACAAACTTTGCCTTAACCTGTTCCGGAGCATCAGACTTGGACGCCCGGGATATGAACTTCTGCAGAGCTTTGGTAGGAACCAGGTGTTTGTCAAGGACTCGGAAGAAGTCCTTCTTGTTTGTTCTTCTGGTGGTGTAGACAAACCCTAGAACCGGTTCTTCGATCGGACCATCTGCAAGAATTTCAGCTTCTGGAAGAACATAGTCTATTTTAGCAACAAATTGTTCTGTTTGGTAGAGGTGAGCAAGTTCGTAATCACAACGGCAGAACTCAGCAACATAGTCTTTGAGGAAGCTGAGAGCTGCGTGATAGGCACCCATACTGATGTCATCCTTTTGATTTTCTCTGAAGTAAGCAGCAAGAGTAAGGATGTCGTTCGGATTCATTGAAGGAAAATCCGCATCAGTAACAGTCTTGGGAGTTGGTTTGTTCCGGAGGAGATGGAAACGGAACAGAGGACAATTCAGCTCAAATTTTACCAAAATTTTTCTTCCAAAGCGATGAACTTTGGTGATCCTCTTTCTTGTCCACACATCCTTGAAGGGTTGAGCATTCTTGTCGTAAAAGGTTTTGAGCCTTTCACGTTCTGTCCGGATGATCACTTCCGGATTGTCGTTTGGATGGAGCGGAGCAAACTTCGTGTAGAATTTGCTGAAAGGAGAGAGAGGAAGATCCAGTTGATCAGTTTCATTTGAGGGAAGGTCATCGTAGAGAGTTGGGATGATATCTTTGGCTTAAAGGATGCCTTCTCGACACAGAGGAGAGATGTCACGCATCGGATCGGGATGATCTTTTAACGCTTGAATCAGGATGCTGTCCTCCAGTGCCTTGTGAATTTCTTCCTTAGACCATCCAAAATTTTGTTTGAGGGGAGGTCCGGAGTAAAAGGCTTGTTGTTCGGAAGTCATCGGTTTCTTCCATTTGTCTCTCTGAAGAGCGTCAATAACCATCTTCATATTCTCGTCAATGACGAATTCCGTAGTAGGAGTTGGAAGCGGTTCTTCCGGAATGTCATCTGGAGTACGGAGAGGAGAGCCTTGATCAATTGGGGCTATTTTTGGTTCCGGAATAGGAGTAGGAGGCAGCATAGAGGGAGTGGACTGGAAGGCTTGAGCTGTAAGGAAGGATTTTGCCTTAGCCATCTTGACGGCCATTTCAAAAGCGTCCGGAAGAGAGGATGGCCAGGAGACAGCGGACCAGATCCTTTTTTGTTCTTCTGATAAAACCTTCGGAGCAGTCAGCTTTGGATCTTGAAGACCAAGAATCCCTTTGGGAGCTTCATCCGGAATGTAAATTTCATAATCTTCATCTCCTTCGTTTCCTTCAGTGATTCCCAGGATTCCGGAGACAAATTGAACATCTTCTTCTTCGGAATCAAGGTCCTCATCCCTGAGTGTGAATTCTGAGGCTGGCTTCCATCTCCTGCTTGGGCCTTCTCCCCCTCTTGCATCGGTGACTCTTGAAACCGGTGCAAACGACAAGTCCTCCTTGATATCATCAAGTTTGGAGAACACCTTCTGAAGACCGGTGGAGAGTTGAAGAGTAAGAGTGTAATAGGCTTCAGAAGTGGGAGCTTGTTCGGAGAGATGCTTGAATGTGCTGCTAAGGATTTCAATCATCTCATCAAATTTCTTGTTCGGAACATCCACAATGTTCCAAGTTGAGCGCAGGAGTTTGATGAGGACTTGTTGAATGATCAGATTCATCTCATCCTTCTTTCGGATCTCCTTCTCTAATCGTTGAATTTGTTTCTCATGACGAACATGAGTCTGCTTGATTAGGTCGTTGGTAGCAGACACAAGATCATCATGAACCTTGAGCATGGAGGAGATGGTGTTGAGATAATTGTCGACAAGAGCATCATACTTGGAATCAAGTTGTTCAACAGTGTGTTTCAGCCGGATGGAAATCAGCTGGTCAAGTTGGGCTTCTCTCTCTGCTACTGATGGTCCGGACTGTTGGGAGAGAGATTGAAGAATGGCATTAAGTTTTGAATCAAGTCTGGAGACTTTTTGATCCAGTTTCGAATTCATCTCTGTTAAGGATGTCTCTACAGATGACACTTTAGCCTTAGTGTCCGAGACATTGTTGCGGATCTCCAGTAAGGCAAATGGGTCAACATGATCACCAGCTGAGGATTCAGAATCAGAATCTGAGTGTTGCGGAGGAGGTTGGTGAGCATCCAGATTGGAGGAGGGACCCGGTTTGGCAGCATCATCGTCTTCTTGAAGATTTGAGTTGGAGCCGTCGTCCGGAGTGGTAGTGGAGGAGGATCCGAAGTCAAAGGCAGACTTGGATACGGATGCTTTGGATTGATAGTGAATGGAGGTCATGAGATGAGCATCCGGAACTGTTGTTGCTTCTTCCTCCAACATAACTTCTTTCGAGATTTCTTCTTCCGGATCAGTGTGGAAGATGCTTTGATGAACGACGATTGGGGGTAGTTCGGAAGTGAGTTCTTTGATGGCGTCATCGTCAGAGGGATGGACATAGGGCATATTGCTTTGAATAGCCCGGTTCCTCATGGAGATGAGAGTGGATTCAACTTGAGCACGAGTCAGGTCCGGACGCCTTGATGCAGCCCTGTTCACATAGTCTTCCCACAAAGGATCATTAGAACCTGGTCGTCCTGTAAGCCTTCCGGGTATCAGACCAGTTGTGGCATCGGAAGTTGGAGAGACTGCTCCACCTTCCGGATGCTTGGGTTCCGGAACAACGGTTCTGGAGTGTGTGCGTGTGGAAGAGATAATGGGAATATCGAATGTGACACGTGGGTGTGTTCCAGGGGGCTGCAAGGAACTTTGTTCAACACAGGCATCACCCTTTTGGGAGGGTGAGGGTGGAATATGTGTAGACTCCCCGTGAGTGTGTGCTTGTGGTGATGAAACATTGAGGGGTACCTCAGATGAGTTGGCAGGAGGGGTGTGCGGACGGCCAGAATCAGCCAGAATGTCATGAGTGCCCTCCTGTTGAGAGGGGGTACTGACTTTGGATTTCTTTTTGGCCTTAGTTTTTGGTGGGTGAGGCCTTTCGTTTGGATGGTTGCGTAACTTTGGGTCCGGACTTAGTGTGAGTGGCCTCTTCCTGAGCAGGCTCAACAGAGACTGGGGCAGG